TCCCCCGCACCCCCAACGGCACCCCCACCTCCCCTATCACACACATTAAACGGCAAGTCATGGGTTCATTGCTCCTCTGCCCGTCTGCGTCCGTTCATCCTCCCTTCCCCTGCCCCCTCGGCGTCCGTGTGTTGTCCCACCCAGCTCACGCACCATCACAGAGGGTGCCATAGCTGGCGCAGGGTGCACCCTTCTTTCCAGCCTCACATTGCCATGGGTCATGGCATGTCTCAAGGTCTCTGCCGTGCAGCCTCTCAGGCCAGGCACAGGGGCTCCTGACCAGCATCAGGTGCATACAGAGCTGACTCAGCTCCAGGTGGCATGATGGTGAGCACAGGAGTCTCCGGGGAGGCATCCGGTGCTACTAATGCATCTCCTGCCAACTCGGCTTCTCCCCATGGCAGCAGTGGGAGCATCTGGTCCCCATGCAGCACAGCCTGGGCTCCCCTTGCGGCCACACTCACAGTTGCTTTTTATGTCTAGCTGCATAGAACCTCAAATTTTTTAACTCTAGTTTTGTGTAGAAACAACAAGCATCCATTTTTATTTGGAGTCCCAAGCTGAGCAGAGCTTGGAGGGAATTTACCTTTTAACTTTTTTCATTGGGCCTATTCTGGTTATTAATGTACCTAGGAATATGTAAATTAGATTAAACTTCTCTTCTGAAAACAAATCCCCGGCGTCTCTGAGTGCTTGCCTGTGTCCCAACCAGTCTCAAACACAGGAGAGGGGCTGGTTTGTCCTGAAAAGCCTGGGCTGGGGAGGCTTGAGGTAGGATTCTCTGTGTCTGGAATAATCCAAGGAAAGTTCCCAAGGGAGATTCGTGACCTCTTTGCTCCCATGGCGGGGCAGCAGGGGAGTCCTCTTTCTCCACGTCCCTACAGGTGTTTTCCAGGAACTCTGCACCGTTAGGAACATGTGGAGTGGCCGCAGATCAGAAACATACTGTGACCAGGAGTGCTGCTTCTCCACTGAAGGGCCCAGAGGCTGGTGAGTAGGCACCCAAGGGAGGGCTGTGCCTGCCCGTAGTTAGCTATGGGGGCTGGGGATGACATCCTTCTGAGTGCACATCCCAGCCAGTGGTGATGTTCCTCACTGACCCATAAACATGGAGCAAAGGGAAGCCCATGTCATCCATGGCCCAAAGCTAATGATGCTGTGTCCATCTCCCACAGCTTCCCCAGGGCCCAGGCCTGTTCCCAGCATCCTCTTGGGGCTGAGCTGGTCCACGTCTATCCTTCAGGGATCAGGCCAACAACATGCCTCATCTGCTGGCAGAGGCCCATGTGGCCTTCCTGGGCTCTTCCTCTGAAGGGCAAAGGCTGAGACTCAAGCCAGGCTACTTCCAGCTGGAGGTGCAGTGTGGGCATGAGCAAAGCTGGTGTCCTAAGCCACTGCCCTGTTCAGAAGGGTGCACACCAGAGTAAAACGTGGGGGGAGGGGAGGTGCATGTGGGGGCAGACAGAAGTAATAGCTGAAAGTTTTCAGAGGGCTGGCTGGACATATTTACACCTACATGGGAATGGGATACCTGGGTCCTCCAGAATCCCACAGTGCTCCTCTCCTGCCCCTGCACCTCCCATGGACAGGAGGAAGGAGAGATGCTGCTGGAGCCCTGCCACTGCCAGACCTGGGTTTTGCCTGACCCCTCTCCCTTTGCTCTACTGAGGGGGAGAAAAATTTGAGGGGGTGTTGAGGTTGGAGTGTCAGCCCCTGCTTATCTCTGCTCCAGTGCTCTACCCTTCTCTTCCCTCCACCTCCCTTCCCTGCAGAAAAGCAAAGCCACTACTCCCTGCAGCTCCCTAAAAGGTGGTCATCGCAGCCATGGCGTACTCCAGCCCAAGTGCCATAAGAGCTGGACATGTCCCATGGCAGAAACCCCTGGTGCATCAGAAATGTGTCAAAAGTTGCTTGTGTTTCCCTCCTCCTCCCCCGCCCCCCTGCAGTGTGGGTGGGTGGTTCTAGCTTCATACACACCCTTTTCTTGGGTGCTGCCTGGTGCCAGCACAGTAAGGGCCTGAGCTGCCTCCTGCATTGGGGTAGCTTGGTCTCAGAGCTGAGGTGCCAGCGGTCTGCTTGGTGCCTGTTGCAGGGGCCACCGTCTTGTCCTTGCTGCACCCTACAGTTCCCTTGTTGCTGCTCCCTAAAGCTGTCCTTGTCTCCTCTGCTCAGGCAGAGGGGCTCTGGCAGTGCCATCCCCATCTCATTAACACCTGACCCTGTTCTCCAAAGTACCAGAAGGGAGTGGAGCCCTCCGGAGGTCCGAGGCAGGGTTTGCAAACCACATAGTTCATCTTGGTACCACCCCTGGGTTCTGAGCAGCTGGGCTGCAGAAGGCTTATTCTTTCCTACAGCAACTGACTGGAAGCTGTGGCTCTGTGCTAGATGTGGACACTAGGGCTCCAGGGCTCAGACAGCTCTCCCAGTGCTGGTGCTGGCTTGGCTGGGTCTGAGAGCGGGGGGGTGTCGGGGGTGGGATGGGAAGTGAGGCAGCTGCCATCCCAACATGAGGCCTTCCTGCGGGGCTCAAACCACCCCTGGACCCTAGTGCTGCTGGTCCCAGCCTGGGCTGCAGCTGACACCCTGCTGCACAGCCAGCAACCTTGGACCAGAGGCCAAGCTGTCTCCACCCCAGCATATGCTGGCTGGAACGAGGCCATGAATCCTAGCTCTGCTTTGCAGATGCACCAGCTGCCTGGTGCAGACCCAGAGCCAGGAAGAGCCTCTGTGAAGGAAGGTGGGGGTGGAACACAGCTCAAGATGCTCTGAGCTCAAGAATCATCTGCCCTTGCACCTGGGGAGGGAGCAGCTGGGTGTGAAGCTATCATGGAGCAGCACAGTACGTGCTGTGGGCAAGTGAGGGGAGGGGAAGGAAGGGCCTGTCCAGAAATCCTGTGTGCGCCTAACAACCTAGTTCATGTCCTACCCATGCTTCTGGTTCCCAGGTCCCACCATAGCTCCAAGACTTTCTGCCTTTAGCCGCCCTCTCTAGGGCATCTCTGCCTCTGTCTGTAGAGGCACAGACTGAGCTAAATCCATATCCCCAGGACTCTTGCTCGCCTTCAGGCCCAGCCGTGCCCAGTCAGCCAAGCCCGTTGACAGGCCCAGCTTCGTACCTGGGAACTGTGTCCCCCTTCACAACTGTCCCTCCAAGGTCCTTTTGTGTCTCCTTTTGCCAGCCAGTTCCCAGGGCCCACAGCTGCCTTGCTATCCTGTTTCTCATGGAGTTTCTGGCCCACCGTAGTCAGGACACCACTCATCTCATCACCCCTCCTTCCCAGGCCATGCTGGAAGTTTGTGACTGGGTTCCTGTTGCTGTTCCTCTGCCCCCACCAGGGCTGCAGCTCTGATCCCGGCTGCTCCCCTCCCCTCCCGCACCAGGAGCCTGCAGGGTCCTGATGAGTGCGTCCCATGGGACAGGCAAGGGTTGAAGCCCCTTGCCCCCAGCCCCCTCCCCCTGAGCCAGGGGAATGTCCCAGCTGGAGTGGGGCCATGGTGCTAGAGCAGGGATGCTAGAGCTGGTGCTGAGTGACTGTGGAAGCAAAGCAATCTCCAGAGGTGCCACAGGAACACTTGCAGCCACTCACTGCCCCAGGAGGAGTGTGGGGAGCACCAGTCCCTCTTCAAAGCCAGGGTGAGAGGATATAGGACATGCTGAGACAGCTAGCTAGGAGCACAGCAGTCTCCCTGCCCCCTCTGGTGGCAGCTCGAGGTAGGAGAAGGTGCTGACTGCTGCTGCTGGGCTGGTCCAGAGCCAAAGGCTAGGGTCCCCTAGGGCTCAGCAGCTGTGCCTGGCTCTGGGCAGTACTCACCTCCCTGCTCTGTGCCTCTGCAGCCAGCTCCAAGACGGCTGCAAAGCTGACAGCCAGGCCACAGCCCGTGCCAGAAGCAGGGGGGGCAATTGCCTAGAAGAGCCTAGGTCCCCTCTCACCAGCCTCCAGGGACCAGGGTCAGGCTCCGCTGCCATTGTGCCCCCATAACATGGCAGCTGCTCTTGCCCCCAGGAACGCAGCCGTGCCCATGCCACCCTGCACCACCCCCTGCAGACCTTGAGCCCCTTTCCATAGCCTCCTGTCCCCTCCTCACCCCAATCCCATACGCCTACTCACAAGGCTCCTGGAGTTGGGCCCAGACCCCTGGCTGGGCAGTGACTGCACCCTGCATACACACAGGAGCATGCTGGAGGGGCCCAGCTCAGTTGTGGCTTTGCCTCACTGCTCTTTCAGCATCACTGCTCACAGCATAGGGGAATGTGGCAATTGCTCCTGTTCTTCTGAGCAGCTGCACGTGGCCTCCAGTGTCCCTGTGTCTGGGACAGAGTTCTGCTGACCTGGGTTTGGGAGCAGGGGCTGTTCACCGAGCTCTAGAAGTCTGGAAGGAAACGTTTTGGGCTCCCTTACCAACACTGTCAGCCAGCTCCATGTGTTCTGCGTATCCCCTGGCTTTCCATGCACATGCTGCAGTGGGCCTGCATGGGGGACCAGACAGGGACTGACTGGCAAGGGGTGGGGAGCCTGGAGGGGTGGGCAGGGAGAGCTGCTGGTGCTGGGTTGGGAGTATCAAAGCGTGATGCTGGCACATCAATTCTGTGTTGGTTTTAGCTTGACTGTGAGGGTTACCGTATTCCCTCATACCATGCACACTCTTCCCCCCACCCCCCCAAATATGTTTTCAAAACTGGGGTATGTCTTAAGCAGAGAAGCTGATTTTCCTTTTTTTCTTTGCTGCAATAAAAGTATGGAGGAACGGCAGCACAGAGACGCTCAGTGCATCTACACAGGGCACTTTACTGCACATTAGACTAATCTAATGTGCAGTAAAGCATCACCATCTACACATGCATGTCAGTTACTAC